TTCTTTCTGAACCATTTGAGAATAAGTTGCAGATATTGTGACACTTCGCTCCTGTGCTTCATATTTTCCCTATAATCACAATTCCATATCACACTCAAGAAACTTAACCCTGATAAAATAATATTATCAAATATGCAGTCCATATTCATATTTCCTCAGTAGTTCTAAAAAATGTCCTTTTTAGGTTTGTTTTTGGATCTAGGATCATGCCTCTAGGTTAATCTAGAGTATTCCATATGCATTTTTTTTGTCTTTCATGACAATGACATTTTTAAAGTGTATAAGACAGTTTTGTAGGTTTCAAAGTCTCCACCTGTCTGATTGCTTTTTCAGGATTAGATCATTGTTTTGTTTGTTTGGTTAGATCTATTATCACACTTTGCTTTCCTATGAGAAAGAGAAAAGCAGTTTCTGATAGCTAAGAAAGAACTGGCCTTGCACTACCTATTTGTTAGACCTTGGTGTTTCCTAGAGTTGGCCTGGCATTCACGTCTAGGCTGTGTTATTCTCCTGTTTGAACGTAAGCGGTTTCACAGAACAGGAACATTAGGCAAGGCCACTCTGTGCCCTTGGATCAAGACAAAAACAAGACCACTCTGGAATCATGTCTGAGCACAGACAAAAACATGAACGTTGTTAAAGTCACAAAAATGATCAAGCATATCATCATCTTGGCCACCGTGAGTGACTGCCGCTTCTTTATATCAATCACAGCCTTAGCCTCTCTTCATTCATCTTGCCTCACAGTAAGATTTATTAAAATTGTAGCATCATAGAATTAGATAGAATTCATAGAACCATAGAATTATCCCCACTTACTAACAGCATCAGAACCAGAGTAAAGTCCCCATTTCTTTAAACCTTTCCCCAAAGTACCTAACACAAGCCAAATCCTGTAAGTTCATTCTCATACCCTCTTAGTGAAATGCCCCAGGGTTCCCCGTAATGTACATTTTCCCTAGCTGCAAGGAGTAATAAATCTAACTTGTTCATTTAGAGGTATGTTCTTGGTGCTGTTGACTGGAAAGAATTCACACCCGAAAACTTTGGCCTCTCTTTGTTTTTACTCTGTGTGAATTTTTGCTTCAATTAAGAATCAGCATCAAGCTTTTCTAGCTAGTTTCTTACTGGTCAAGGGCAACTTTTAGTTCCATATAGCCAGTTTTTGATCATTGACATTCGAATTTTATTTTTTTCAAAGATTTTATTTATTTATTAGAGAATGAGAGATAGAAAGCATGAGAGGGAAGAGGGTCAGAGGGAGAAGCAGACTCCCTGCTGAGCTGGGAGCCTGATGTGGGACTCGATCCTGGGACTCCAGGATCATGACCTGAGCTGAAGGCAATCGCTCAACCAACTGAGCCACCCAGGCGCCTGACATTCGAATTTTAAAAAACTTATAAGCTCTCATATCTGGGTGTTCTACATTAAAAAAAAAAAAAAAAAAAAGAATATCCCAAAGCAGCTTAATAAATCAGAGAGAGAGAGACTTTATTTCCAATGATTTATCAGCTTAATTAGAATGCTTGAATTTAATTTTTCCTCCCACAGCTTTTAATAAAACATTGTTGGGTCATTGAGGGTGGGGGGCTGGCTTATATATAATATAGATACATACACACAAATGATATAGTATATAATATGTAATACTATACAATAAATCTTATGAAAAATATATTTTGCATTTTCTATTGTAAATCAGCTATAATTTTTACTCTGTTCACAGGAAAATAAACATTGACCCTGTGAATGGAAATTTAAAGCAGTGATAAAGAAGTTCCTATTTATGATTTCTCAGTGTTGCTGCTTTTGAGCAAGGTTTAGGTGCTCCTAAAGGACTAGCAACTGCAGAATAGCCACTAGGGTGTTGACTACAATTAGGATGACTGTTGAATCTTGCTACTTTTTTTTTTTTTTAATTAAAACTAGGTGGCTTTGTTAAATCTCTTAAGGCTAATAGTTATGGATTAAAATTCATCTGCTTCTCTTTATGCTACAAATCCTACTTTTTTGTTGTTGTTATTGTGAAATATCTTAGGAACAAAGAAGTGAGCATGTTCTTTCATCTATTTGTTCTGATGATAGGATTCAGTGTAATTGAACCTTTTACTGCATAAGCCTTTATTTTTGATTGTGCTTGCTCCACTCTGAAAAATATTTTAATTCCTCTCCACTTGTCTAAGTTTAGTGGAATGGAAATGCATAAAGATGTGTTTTATTCTCTTTAGAAGAGAATACTCATTGCTTAAGCATTTTATTAGTCTAGCTTAATAGGGAGGTGGGATGAATCACTGATTATACTTAGGATTGAAGCTCCCAAATTAATATGTATTTGTTTTAGCTACTCAATGAGATTTTTTAGGGTGTCATTAAATATTCACTGTTTTCCATTAAAATTTCTCAACAAGTAGTTAATGCATTTAAAGATAATATCAGGTGGTTTTGTGGGTTGAAACATAGTATGATTTTTTTGTGCATTTTCTGGATTTTTGTTCTGAGGTTATATATGTGTTCACAAAATTATTAATATTAATTCACAGGCACTGGAATTAAATTTTGTTTAAAGGATAAACATATTGGACTATAATCATAAGTACCAATGTAGACTTAATTTCTTATTTAGACAAGAGAAGGAATAATGGACATTAGCTGTCATTTTAACCTGTTTGGCCAGTGGATTTTTCCCAAGACTGAATAACTTAGATTGTTGTCCAGAAAATTTGCTTTACAGGTGGGGGCGCTTGGAAGTTTGTTTCCAGATAATATGTTGATAGGTAAGCTAGCACATCATTTTAGATTCATATCAGGAGAATTGAGTTAAATTGAATTGTTACATATGAACTGGGAAATAATAGAAAAACAGAACACAGAAACATCAAATAGTATAATGGTATTAGGCTTGGTTTCTTGTGATAAACCTTAAAACCAGATAGAAGTCGATTTCTTTCTCATGGTGTGAAATCTGAAGATAGCTCCAGGCAGGGCAGCTCCACAGTGATCAGGAATCCAAGCTCCTGTCATGTTGCTCTGTCACTTTTAACCTCCCACGTCACAGTCCTTCCTGGAAAGGGACAAGGAGAAAGAAGGAAAGGCTCTCTCTCTCTCTCTTTTTTTTTAAGAGACTTTATTTATTTATTTGAGAGAGAGAGACAGATAGTGACAGAGATAGTGAGAGAGAGCACAAGTGGGGAGGAGAGGGACTGAGCAGGGAGCCTGACATGGGGCTCGATCCCAGGACCCTGGGATCATAACCTGAGCCGAAGGCAGACGCTTAACCAACGAAGCCACCCAGGTGCCCCAAAAAGTCTATCTCTTAAAGAGATTTTTAGGAAGCTACAATATAACTTTTGTTTTTATGTTTTTGGCAAGAGCGTAGTCCATGTCCACATGTAACTGCAAGGCAAGCTGGGAATGTAGTGTTTTTTTTCTCTGGGTTGCCTTGTCCACAGTTAGAAATTGGGAATTATTTTACTAAGGAAGAATGTGAAAACAGACACTGGGCTAGCAACTGGCAGCTTGTTACATATAAATAAAGCAGTGTCCTGAATGTTAGGGATCCTCTAATTGACTGCCTCTGGCCTGTTAACCTTTACTGGGCCCCAGGCTCTTTGATGATGCTGATAAAAGTTACAGACTTGTTCCCTAGAAAAAGGTACCTGCGGACACATGTATGGAATTTTATAGGACTGTTGTCTCTGGAACCCATCCATTAAGCCGAGTAGGTTGTTTATAGACCATTGTTAAGATTTTTTTATTAATGAAAGATGACTATTTTCTAAGGTAGAATGTTCCACTGTTAAGACTGTTCTTTTTGAAAATTTTTCTAAATTTCCACCATTCACTCTTACAGTTAGGTATGAGTTAATTAGCATGCTGTGTATGCTAGGCACTGTAATGACACTTGAACATTCAAAGGCATCATGATTATTAAGTGTTAACTATGTGCTTGTCATGGAACTGGGATTCTTAAGTACATTGTTCATTTTCTCTATTTTACAAATGAAGAAATAACCTAAGATTTCATAGCTAGTGAATGATAGAGCTAAGATTTATACCAGGTCTAACTCTAAAACCATTTCTTTTAGTTTTCATGAAGTAGATACTTCACCATAAGCATGAGACACATTGAGCTGAGAGTTTTTAGTGGTTCAGTTTCAAATTCTTGTTCTGGGTTATATAACTAGGAATCTCTTTGTACCTCAGTTTTCTGTTGACATTTTGCAAAGCCACTTAAAATGTTTATGGGATGATGCTCCTCTTTTGATTTTGTATTTTTGAAGCCTGGATTGCAATCGGTTGTGCTACATGGCATGTGACAAATGCCAACGAGGAATCTGATCTAAGAGGAATACAAAATGATCGTATTTTAAAATGTCTTATCAGCATTCAAATTGTATATAGGATTAAAAAAATTCTATGAAAACCACCTTTCGATCACCTTGTAAATCAGAGCTCGCTGGTGTGCGCACCGTCTTTTTTCTCACACGCATGCTGTCACGTACGCTGACAGCGGCACACGTGGAGTTTGGCTTCAAAGCTTTTTTGCTTCAAGCTGAGGTTTTTGACCCCACTGATATACAGATGTTCTCATAATTTCCTCTCTTCAGCTCCTTTATAAATCAAAAAGAGTGGGAAAGGGAAAATTATATGAGTAATTACAGTATTAAATTACTATGGAAAACCATTTGAGTTCTTTAGAATTCTCTTTTTAGCTTGAGTTTCAAATCACCAGCTTCTTAAATGTTAACGTTTCTTACACAGACAGGCCTTCGAGTAGGGCTGCATCATTGATTTATCAGTTCACACCTCTGTCTCTTGTTGTATCAGAAACACTGTTGTTTTTTGGGGGGGAGATTACGCTGATTCTGATAGTGCAGACTTGACTTTAGAGGACTGTGTAGTAAGGCAGTGATCGGCCTGCTGCTGCTTTCTGAGCTGTGAACGTAAACTCCCATAAACCTTCCTTCCTTCCTTAAGTCTTGGTTCTTATTTGATTCTAGGACGATTTGATGAAACTGTTATTGAAGAGAGAAGACAGTGTGCTGAAGATTTGCTACAGTTCTCTGCCAATATCCCTGCTCTTTATAACAGTAAACAACTTGAAGATTTTTTCAAGGTTTGATAGTCTTTCTGAAATATTTTGTACTTCATTAAATATTTTTTTTTTCAAATTTGTAGTAAGGCGGGATTCAAGTTGTTTTATTTTTTTAACAGAAAATGTTATTTACTGTTGAATTTCATTATTCACTAAAATAAGTAGAAGTTAGTTGCTAAACAACAATGTCTTTGACATACCTTCTGTTTTTAGTGCAGAAATGTATAAGATTTTGGATTCATACTTTTTAAAAAATTGATGAAAAGGCTTAGGATTATCTTGTTCACTCCATCATAATTGAAGTACATTAGAAAAAATTTAAGTATCATGAAATTTTAGTTGTTGCCTTCACTTTTTGAGGTGTCTTTCAGTGGTATACTTTTTGGGATAGAAACCACTCTAAGTTCATATTCACTTTGTTATAATTGTACTAATTTGTGTAAGAGATAGAGCAAAAATAATCACTATATAATTTTAGAGAGATAGGCTAGTACAAATTACGTGTCCAGAATCATTGGATATTAATGTTTTCTGTTCCTTTTTTTTTTTTTTAAGATGTTTATTTATTTGAAAGAGAGAGACAGCGAGAGAGGGAACACAAGCAGGGGGAGTGGGAGAGGGAGAAGCAGGCTTTCCGCAGAGCAGGGAGCCCGATGCGGGGCTTGATACCAGGACCCTGGGATCATGACCTGAGCCGAAGGGAGACGCTTAATGACTGAGCCACCCAGGCGCCCCATGTTTTCTGTTTCTTGACATGAAATGTTTTCATTCTGAGCTCTTTATCATTTTATTTTATTTTTAAGATTTATTTATTTAAAGAGAGAGTGTCAGCAGGGGTTGGGGGGAGCAGAGGGAGAGAGAGAGAGAATCCCAAGCCGACTCCACACCCAGCGTGGAGCTTGACGCAGGGCTCCATCTCATGAGTCTGAGATCATGACCTAGGCTGAAATCAAGAATTGGACACTTAACCAACTGAGCCACCCAGGTGCCCCAGAGTTCTTTATTGTTTTAAATAATAATTTTCTAATTTATTTTGTATTGAGCTTGTGCAGGTTGTTAGTTGGTATGTCTTTGTTGACCACAATTTTCCTATTGCCTTTAGACTTCTAGAAAAAAGCTAGGCGATTGTGCCGTACTTCCTTTCTTTAAACTACTCGTTTGTGTAAATGTAATTGTTAGAACACATGAAGTATATGAATAGTATATGAGTATTGGGATTTTTAATTTTCCTGATGCCAGTGGATCTACAAAAGGAAATTATTTTTTATGACCTATTTTAACTTACTGAAGAAAGTTGATCTTTTGAAAGATATTATAAATTTATGACTTTACACTAATAGAAATGCAAATAATAATAGGAAAGTTTGTAGTACCAGTAAGATTTCTAAGAATTGACTTCATTGCTTAATTTTTCATTACTGTGTAAACCAGGCTGAGATGATGAATGTGGCTCTGCTTATGGCATACTGCAGATCTTTAGGATAAAAGGTCAAATCAAGTTGATACAGTATTTGTTCTTTGCTATTCTTGGTTTACAGCTCTATGTGGCAAGCAGTCTATGCTTATAGAAAAAAGGCAGCATTAGGGGTGCCTGCGTGTCTCAATTGGTTAAGCATACCAACTAACAACCTGCACACGTGTACAGGGTGGGTGGGAGGGGCAGAGGGAGAGGGAGAGACAGTCCTAAGCAGACAGTGCACTGGAATGTGGAGCCTGACATGGGGCTCGATCTGACGACCCTGAGATCACTATCTGAGCCGAAACCAAGAATTCCATGCTGAGTGTGCCACCCAGGCGCCCCCAACTTTGAACAATTTAAATATAAGTTACCTGTTATGTATGTATATATGTATGTATTTTATCGTGTATCAGTATTCTATTCCTTTATGTTGCTGAATAGTATTCTCTTACATAGATTGTACTGCATGTTGTTTATCCATTGACAAAATGATGGACATTTGGATTGTTTTCAGTTTTTTGAGCCTTTGTCCAGTACTGTTGCCAACAAATTTTTGTCTACAAATCTATGTGTAGATACATATTTTCATTTCTTTTGGGTAGATTCTGAGGAGTGGAATTGCTGGGTGTTATGGTAAGTTTATGTTTTTAAGAAACTGTTCTTTAAAGTAACTGTACTGTTTTACATTCCCCAGTAATGTATGAAGGCTCTGTTTCTTACACAATTTCACCAATTGTGTAAGAATTTAATTTATAGCTGTTCTAGTATGTGTTTAGTGGTATCTCACTATAGTATTAATTAATTTCCATTTCCTAATGGCTAATGATGTTGAGCTTGTTTTCATGTGCCTATTCATATACTTTGGTGAAATGTTTGTTAAGATCTGTCCAGTTCTGGTTGGGTTGTCTTATTATTGAGTTGTAAGAGTTCTGAATATATTCTGGATACAAGTTATCCAGAATCCATATCCTTTATCACATATGTGTTTTGCAAATATTTTTCCCCCAATCTGTGGTTTGTCCATGTTCTTAATGGAGTCATTGGAAGTACAAAAGTTTTTATTTTATTTTTTTAAAGATTTTATTTATTTATTTGACAGAGAGAGAGTGAGAGCAAGAGCAGGAACACAAGCAGGGAGAGTGGGAGTGGGAGAAGCAGGCTTCCCGCCAAGCAGGGAGCCCAGTGCGGGGCTCGATCCCAGGACCCTGGGATCATGACCTGAGCCGAAGGCAGAGGCTTAACCGACTGAGCCACCCAGGTGCCCCAAAAGTTTTTAGTTTTGATGAAGTCTAATTTATCAATTTTTTCTTGTTTTGAATCATACTTTTTTTTTGGTCATATCCAAGAACTCTTAGATTAACCCAAAGTCTCCTGTGTTCTTTTCTACAAGTTTTGGTCTTACATTTAGGTCTATGATCCATAGTTAATTTTTGTATACAGTGTGAAGTAACAGCCTAAATTCATCTTTTGGCACATGAATATCCAATAGTCCCAGCACTATTTGTTGAAAAGGCCATCTTTTCCACCATTGAATTACTTTGGCATTATTGCTGAAAATGAATTGAATGTAAATGTAATGGTTTATTTTTTGACTTTTGATGTGTTTTATTGATCTTTGTGCCTGTTCTTATAACAGCACTGTATTTTCTTGATTATTTTAGCTTTATAATAAGTTTTGAAATCAGATAGTGTAAGTTGTCCCATTTAGTCATCCTTTTTCAGAATTGTTATGGCAATTTTGAGTCCTTTGAATTTCCATAAAAATTTTTAGCATCAGCTTGTCCATATAAACAAAAAATTCTGATGGAATTTTGATTGGAAATGTATTAAATCTGTAGTTCAATTTGGGACAAATTGTTTCTTAACAATATTGTCTTTCAATCCATGAACATGAAATAACCTTCCATTTATTTAATTAGTCTCAGCAGTGTTTTGCAATTTTCATTGTATAAGTTTGGCACTTCTTTTGTTAAAATTATTCTGTGCATTTTATTCTTTTGATGCCTTTGTGAACAGAATTGTGTTCTTTCTCTTAGCATTATGTTTTAAAGGTTTAATCCATGTTGTAGCATGTAGCAATACTTCATTCTTTTTGTGGCTATATAGTATTCCTTTGTATGGATCCATGGATATACTGCATTTTGTTTATCCATCCAGTTGAGCACATTTGGGTTGTCTCTCCCTTTTGGCTATTACTAATGATGCTGTTATAAATATTGGCATATAAGTTTTTCATGTGGACCTATCTTTTCATTTCTCTTAGGTATATATCTAATATTAGAATTGGTCTGGGAAGATTTCAAATCTTAATTCAATTTATTTACTTGTTACAGGTTTATTATGATATTCTCTTTCTTCTTGAATCAGCTTTGGTAATTTGTTCCTTCCCAGGAGTTTTCATCTAAATTGTATAATTTGTTAGCATAAATTATTCATAGTATTTCCTTATAATGTCTTTGATTTCTATAGGGATGGTAGTGATGTCCCTTCTTCCATTCTTGATTTTGGTAATTTGTATGTATCGTGTTTATTTTTTTTTCTTGGTCAATCTAGCTAAAAGTTTGATAACTGTTGATTTTCTCAAAAGACTAACCTGGTTGGGGTGCTTGGGTGGCTCAGTCAGTTTAGTGTCTGACTTTGGCCCAGATCATGATCTCAGGGTCCTGGGATAGAGCCCCACATCGGGCTCCATTGCGCAGGGGGGAGTCTGCTTATTCGTCTATCCCTGCTCGTTCTCTCTTTCTCTGTGTCAAGTAAATCTTAAAAAAAGACGACTAACCTGGTTTTGTTGATTTTTCTGTACTTCCTGTTTCATTTTTCTATTTCATTTTATTGATTTCTACTCTAAACTTTATTTCCTTCCTTTTGCTTGCTCTGGATTTGCTTTGCTGTTTATCTAATTCTTTAATTCCTTAAAGTGGAAGCTTAGATTACTGATTTGAGTATTTCTTCTTATCTAACATAGGCATTTACAACTATAAATTTTCCTTTTAGCACTGCTTGAACCTCATCCTATAACTTTTTAGGCTTTGTTTCCATTTTTATTCAGTTCAGTGCATTTTTTTATTTCTTTTGTGATTTTTCTGTTGACCCATTGGTTATTTAGGAAAAATGTTGTTTAATTTCCAAATATTTGTTGATTTCCTAAAGTTTCTTTTATTGTTGATTTCTAGTTTTCTTGTGGTCATGGTCAGAAAACATGTGTTATATGATTTCAATTCTTTTAAATTTATTGAGACCTGATTTATTTCTTAGCATATGACCTGTCCTGGAGAATATTTCATGTGTGCTTGAAAGGAATATATATTCTGTTGTCAGGTGGAATTTTATGTAAATTTTAGTTCAAGTTAGTTGTTAGTGATGTTTAAGTCTTCTGTATCTTTGCTGCTTTTCTGTTTAGTTCCGTCAGTTATTGAGAGGGAGGTATTGAAGCCTCCAGTTATTATTGTTGAATTTTCTATTTGTCCTTTCATTGTTATTGTTTATTTATTTTGGGGCTCTGTTGTCATGTGCATGTATATATATAGTGGGTATAGCTTCCTGATAAGTTGATTTTCTTAGC